ATTATTTGTTTAAATTGAGAACCCTTAGTCTCCCAAACCATGGGAAACATATCGAAAATAGACTTTTGTTTCAAACAACCACAAAATTCATCGAAACAACACCAAATCATGCATATTGATGATTTTAATGATTTAATCCTAGATTCGTTATATTTTTACGGGATGGAATTTGTGGATTATCACGTTTATGAAAATGTGGATGACTGCTTTATGAGAAGTATGATCAAGTAATGGACATAGTGAAAAGATGCTTGTTGTATTTTGTATATATATAAATATTAACTAAGAAAGGTATACACTGGTACAAACGAATTTGTTAAGATTTTAGCATCCTAACTTTATATATAGTATAAATGTTATTATTTTTTAACAACAATAATATAAAAAGCAAGACATTGGGTTTTCAAGAGAAGAATTTGTAATCTTTGGCGGAGACAATGATGGTTCTGAGGCCACCAATGGGCGCTATGATCGTCAATATAACACCTACTACTATGCAAAACTGCAATTTCACACAAAAACCATAAACTTATTGTCATGTTTAACCAAAAAAAGACACATATATATAGTAGAAAATGATGAGTAAGAGGAAGATACCCAGTTAAGAGACCAAGACAATCCATACTTCTTTGGTTTCTTGAGAACCAACCACATGATGCATGGTAGCTATTCATAGAGAAAATAAAATGTGTATATCAAGTAATTTATTTAGATTTCATTGAAATAAATGAATAGACTTAATTTATGTATCGAATTACTTACATAGTAAGTTGTTGGGGCGAATGCAAATCCTCCGAAAAAGCCAAGTAATCCGCCAAAAAACGGGATGCATATGGCAACAAACATAGTGAAACCTAATCAAGCAAGTCCAATGTTATAAATCCATATGTTTTTATGTAAGAGTACATATTGATTCAATTTGAAACAAATAAAACTTACCAACATATAGAGTGCGGGTGATGAAGCGGAGTTGGAAGCAAGGAGGGAACATCATCTTCTTTACCAAAAAAGTTTCAAGCATGTCAAAGACCGGCATTGCGTATATCTGATAGCTTCCGATAACATGGACGACCACAAAAGCATTAGCCATGACGATAAGCCATTTTGGGTTATGTAACGTCATGAGAATATTGTCGTCCACGCTGTTTCCAAAAATGTAGTAGCAAACGAATGCAACGGGAAAGTAGCAGATAGCGACCACAATGTAGGCAACTACTACTCCTCTCCACATTGGGATCTTAGATGGTTTCTCAGGAGTTGAAGGAATAGTAGCTTGAATCTCCAATACAACATTGTGTCCAGCATACGCAAATGCCACATCTCCCAATGCATTCAAGAAATTGAATACTTTTCCTGACCTCGTCGTGGCTTTAAACGAGTAGTCTACATCTGGTTGAACACCTTTCTTTACGGAGGCTGCCCAAGCGACTGTCGAATAGCTGCATGTATAACAACCATATGCATATTTAAGTAATCTTAAATTAATAAAACTCAAATAGTAAAGAAGCAACATATGCAAATTTACTTATTATCAGTTGATTTTGAAATAAAAAATTTTAAGTTAATTATAAAACTAATGTGAAATATGAATTAAGATAAATGGTTGATAATTCATAAACAATCTATATATCATCAATTTTGATTATTTGACGAATTTTTTTCCGTATTATTGTGTATGAGTTTTGACATACCTCAAAGACATAACCGCGGCGGCCAGAGAGACGATGGACATGGAATTGAAATTAGGGAGGTGAGAGAGAACAAAGTGTATAGAAGAAAAGATCATGATCCAATAGGTAGTTCTTATGTCTTTGCAATCGGTGCAAAGAAGGTCGTGGATTTTTTTCAATGACTTCCCTCCCGTTACCATGTACACAATGTTCACACCTACTTCAACGATCAGCTGTTGCGGCACCACAATCCACAGTCCGAGCTTCTCGCCAAACGCGTGTTGACCAAGCTCGTGGTACCTATCGAACCTTTTCCCTGGAACCATCTCGTGCATCTCCACCATTTGCCATAGTGTGTAAAACGTTATCACCCATGACATTATCATTATTGTCACTCCAGGTCCCCTACCGCCAGAATATAAAACCAATCATTAATTAGTTAGAACATAATACGTCAATGTGATCTTATAAGCTTAAAATTATCACCAAATTAAAAATTAAGGTGTAATCACAACTGTTGTTTAAGACAACTAGACATTTTCTTGCGGAATTTTAATCTGTATCTAAGCAAATTAAGAGAGATTTGGTATGTGTACCATCCAAGGTTGGACATGGCATAGGGCAAGCTGAGCACACCAGCACCGACCATGGCAGTGACATTGTGAAATGCAGAGTACCACCATTTAGCGTTCCTAGAGGACGTTATTGGCAACCAAGCGTCCACGTTCTTTTGTTGTTTGGACCCAACCTCGCTTTCGGGTGACAGATTTTTCCCCATGATGGTTTCACTTCTTTAATACTTTTTTTTTTTTTTTGCTAAAAGGCTTACTATTGAATGACTTCTTCTTTAATACTTCTGATCAGTTTTCTCGAAAACGAGACTGAAACTGAGATGGAGGATAAAAAAGTGGTACACAAAGATATTGTGAGAGAGCAAGACGGTCTTTTTTCAAGGTTGTGAAGGAATCACAACACCTTTAGTTGTTAGATATGTGTCTTGCAATGATAAAAGCTGATATTTCTCGTTTTATTTATACAAATAAATTTCACTATTTGTGGATTGTTATCTTACGACAGGTTAATTCGTTTTTTTTTCTGTTTCACAAGCAAGTGATAAGGTGTTCATAGGAATTTTGAGGTGTATATTTCCTAATTAAAGTTATACCACTTGGGTTCTTTGTATATTCCCCTTTTTTGGTGTGGGAATTTTGGGAAAGTCAATGCTTCCCTGTTATGCATGGAATTGGGGATGACCTAATGTAAAGAGTGTTTTGCTATTAATACCAAAATATCGGTTATTGTTTACTTTTTGTTCTATCTAGTCATTTGTTTTTAACTGTTAAATCGAATCACTAATTTAGGGTCGGATATTACAACCTACAAATTCTGTTTTTTTTTTTTTAACGAAAGAAATATGTTATGTATTTCATCGTTTATACTTTATAGGGAAATTCTCTCAATTTTTTTTTTTTTTTGCGTGTATGTGTGTGTGCAGATTCTTATTTTTGTCCAACCTTTCTTGAATAGCTTAGAAAATTGTTAAAAAAATTAAAATAACAAATTGCCAATATTTGAAATGTATATATTCTTAAAATAATCAACTTAAGTTTGGAATCTATTTGCGTTTAACTCATCATTATCCGTTGAA